TATATTAAGAATATTATTAATATTAATATAATTTAATTAATAATTAAATATTTTTAAAAATTTAAGTATGTATATTTTGTATATTGATGTTTTAAATTTCGAAAAAACACGAAAAATTATAAAACATTAAAAAAAAATTTTTTATAATTCTAAACATATCGTATGGGTTTTTAAAATTTTTAACTTAATAAAAAAATAAAATTTTTATTTATAAACTTAATATTACATATAAATAAAATTTTAGAAAAAGGGAAAAAATCTTTTTATAGTTAAATTTAAAAATCTGTTCTATAGACTGCCCGCAATGACGCCATTTATTAAAACAAAAGCACACGATTAATGAATTAAAAGTTTAATTAATTAAAATAATAAGTCATGTCATTAATTTGATGACAATAGTTAAGAATGTTTCAATAAGTTGGGTATCAATGTCTACGATTTTTATAGCATCTGCTATGGGCAGCTCGCAATAACGCCATAATAGCTCGCTTCATTGAAGTAAACAATTTATCATATGATTCAAACTTACACACATTTTCTTTAAATTTACCTTTTAGATGCTTCAAATAAAAATTGTCAAAGAATCAATAAATTATTCTGTTGATATAAATAGATTAACTATAGCATCAATTTACACAATGGCATGAATTTTACAGTACCATACTTTTGATTTAAATAGTTTCGTTTTTTCGTTTTATATAATATACTTTTCAATCAATAAAATTGTTATTGAATCAATGACAGGAAATTCAATAGCATGGAACTATTTGATTTAACAGTATTTTTTCTCAGTGTGTAATTTAAAAATAAATTTTTGGTTTTTTATTAATAAATATATTTGTTCGTACATAAATTTGAAATAATCATAATAAAATTTGTTACAATTAATCATTATATTTATAATTTAATCCTTTAACGCCCAGCGGTTTCGATCGTAACCGCTTTGAATTCAAAAATCCATAACTTTGTCAAAAAAAATAATCTTGTTTTCTAAACAAGAGTTACCTGCAAATTTATTCAACATTATGGGAAAATTTTATTAAATTTTTAATAAATAACAATTTTTTATTTATAACAATATAAACACAAGTATGTTTTTGTAAGATTTTTAAAACATAGCAAATTATAAAGAAAAATTCAATATAAGTTAGCAAAAATGACTACTCGTGGGTTTTTGGGGTCGCTGATTATGAATCTAATGTTAGTTTTTCAAAATTTTCAAAATTGAAAATGGCAGACCCAATATAGCGAACGATTTTTAAAAAAAATTATCGAATTTGCCTGAAACTTGTTACTAAGGGGTTTCTGGGATCTTTGATTACGAATCTAATATTAGTTTTTCAAAATTCAAAATGGCGGATCTAATATGACGGACGTTTTTTAAAAAATTATCGAATTTACATGAAACTCGTTACTTGGGGGTTTTTGGGGTCTCTGATTACGTATTTAATGTTAGTTTAAAAAAAAGAAAAAAAAATTGGATCAGTGTTCTGTAACCTCCACGTGGTTGATCCCGATAACTACAAGTAGGTAGGCAACTGACAGAAAAAATTGTCTCTGGATTTCTAAACAGCCATCGCACATACGATAATTTTTTTAAAAATCATTCGCCATATTGGATTCGTCATTTTAAGGGGGGAACACCAGTTGTAACTCAAAAAATAATGCTTTTTCAAGAATATTTTCCAAAAGAACAATAAATCTTTTTAAAGAATACTATTTATTAGTTAAAAGTACATGTAAAAAACTGTAATTTAAAAGAAAAAAAAAATTTTTTTAACAAAAACTTTTGGAGATATGAGCCATTGAAGTGGCGTCTTAAGAAAAAAGGCGAATTGCGGTGACCAGCATTCTGCAAGTATACTTTGTCTGAAATACAAAAATGAAATTGATTTACATTTATTATAAGATTATCTAGTTCGTGATCGAAGGATTAAAAAAAAAAAAAAATTTGACAAAATGGCGACCTGTCAAAGTCAAAAGTATGATTTTCGTTAAAAAAATACGGTCGATTTTCAGCTATATAAAAAAAAGTTTTGCATAAAAAAAAAATCCTTCGATCACGAACTAGACTTGTATGTGTAAATGAAGCACACTAAATTTTAAATAAATCGGTTTAATAGTATTCGAGTAATCGTGGTCACCGACTTGGAAAATGTCATTTTGAGAAAAACGCATTCAAAGTTTCAACTTACTTTTTTTTGTTCAGAAGAAATTTTGTTTCCAAGTTACAAAGAGTCATCGATTCTTGGACCATATAATAACTCTTCCGCAGTGGTTGCCGTTTCTAAATCATAGGAAAAGGCCATCTGTCGTTAGGGTCAGGTATGGCTGGCCACCTCGTATGAAGCCACGGGACGCGCCGCTGCAGTGTTCTGTATATCTCATTTATTTTTCACCGGATCAACTTTGAAATTTACAGACACATTTCTAAATATGTATACTTTAAGAAAATGCACAAAAAAAATCGATTTTTCGAAAGTTACAACTGGTGTTCCCCCTTTAAATTTTGAGAAACTAATATCTAATTTGTAACCAGCGACCCCAAAATCCCCCGAAGGAATGAGTTTCATGCTAATCTGATAATTTTTTAAAAAATCATCCGCCATATTGGATCCGTCATTTTGAATTTTTTAAAACTGACATCAGATTCGTAATCAGCGACCCCAAAAACCCCTTAGTAACGAGTTTCATACAAATCCGATAATTTTTTTAAAAAATCGTCCTCCATATTGTATCTGCCCATTTTGAATATTGAAAATGATGAAAAACTGATATCGGATTCGTAATCAGCGACCCCGAAAACCCTTAGATACAGTGAGTTATGAATTTTTCGTTACTTTAAAAAGTCAGGCGTTAAAGGATTAATAGAAAAGAAACTTAAATAATAATGTATCGTATGTTTGTGTGCTAATATGTTAAATCTGTCTGTTTTATTTGTTATAACTAAGGATTTAAGTCATTACAGGCAATCCCCGCAACCTGAATATTTTGCAGAATTTTTCCCCCTTCTCAAATTCGCAACCTGATCAGCTTCCCCCACCACTAGATACCTGTGATTTCAGGGCTGTACACTTTAACTATACACAGATCATGGGGAATAATATTTTCTATAACATTATTATGAATATGACAATTTATTTCGCTGCGTTGTAATATAGAAGTTACATTGTAATTCATATATATAATTAATCATAACAATGTTAATGAATATTCATTACATCAGATTGATAAAAAATTAAAACAAAATAGCCAATTAAAACAATATTTATATTCTCAAAATGCAAATACATGAACAAATAATTGTAACGTTCAGAAAATGTACAATTACATTTTTTTTGTTATTCGCAATGTTGATAAAATCATATTTTAATTCTATCGTACAGAAATATATAATATAGTGTATTGTTAATGAATATGCATTGCTCATCGATATGGGTTATCAAATTCCTTAAAATTTTTTTAGGATCTGGGCACAACACGCAACACTGTTTGTCAACTAAGTAAAAATTCATTTTTTCTCAGTAAAAAAATTATTTGCTTTTGCTACGCAAATGAATAATAATAATATCAAAAACTACAATTCCCCCCGAAATATACAGCACTGTTCGCGTAGGAGAACTGACACTTTTATTAGTTAGGTTGCGAGAATACGAAATGGTCAAGTTGCGAATTATGCAGGTTGCGGGGATTGCCTGTATATGATTTAAATCTAACAATAAAAATTGAATTGAGGAGCAAATTTTCAAAATCAATTTTTGAAATAAGAAAATAAGTATTTATCAGGTTTTGAAAACTTGCTCCTTAATTTATGTATACATTATTTAAAATTGAACAATTTTTTAAATTATAAAATTTGTTCGTAACAGATTAATTTTTTTTATTGTATTTAAAATCTATTATTTTTGTGAATTTTATTAAATTTTGTATTACTTTTTACATTCGACACTTTTAAAATATTACTCGTAGAAATTCTAATAAGTAATACTGCGAAATATAAAAATTTCTTCTGCAAGAAACAACTTTTACTATTGCAGATCAAACTTTATACTCGAAAAATAGTAACCGGTACCACTGCTACTATACACCTGTGTGTGTGACGACGTCACTATGGTCATGCGCAGCGTTCGTAGCCCGGCGTCATAGTATGCAATTCATGTATAACGAATAAATACTTCATTTCTAATTAATTATTCATTAATTAATAAAAACAAATATTATTATAATTATTATGCCTATAATAATAAAATAAATTAAAAAATATAAAGAAAAAACTCATTGAGAATATATAGTAATTATTATTTGCTATAGTACTTCAATGTTTTATATATTACAATGTGCAATTCCAACTTTATATAAAATTGTTATGAAATTAATTTACATAATTCTTATTTATTTTATATAAAATCAGAATAAGTAACAAAATAAGTAACTTTAATTTAAGTAATGAAATTTTTTATTAATATTATTATTTTTTATTTAATAATATTATTTCATTAATATTATTAAAAATGTTTATATTTTAATTCAATAACTTATCTAATAAATAAATACAATTTATAATTGACATTTTTAAAGAAGGATATGTGCGGGTAAACAAAAATTTTTCCTATAGTGATTGCGTGGCCGAGAGTTCTTTTTATAAACGTTTTTAGTGACAAAAGCGCAGGCGCGCAGCTGCACACGCGTCGGCATTCTCTCCACCCGTCGGTGTGAGGCGCGTCGTTGTAGTGGTATGGATTACTACTTCTTCTAGTAAAAATCCTAAGAAAATAGTAATAACTGCTCCGATTCATAATAAAAGTTGCTTCGCTCCTAGTATTAATTCTTCGGGATATTTTAAATATTACTCAGCTTTTAATAAAAGTTATTATTTTTTGAGCTGTTCCCAAATTACTATTTGAAAGTAGTAATTTTTGATAGAAAATGTTATTTTGACAATTATTACAATTATTACTCTTTTTTTCTCCGTGTAAAAAAGAACTTTTTTTTATTTGCAGGTAGTAGATCTTCCTACTATTGTTGAATCATTAAAAACAATAGACAACAGAAGTTTCTATAAAACGGCTGATATTTGCCAGGTAAGAAAATTATGTATGGTACTTATAACTTTTCAAATTCATATCATCGCATTTTGTTGTTCTTTACATTTGACTTTCAGTATTTCGAATTTTTTGCCAATATAACAAAGAAGATGCAAAGGGATATACATAATTTTAAACTTTGATATGTATGCTGATTTGATTTATTTAAAGTAGGACATAATACCCCAGTTCAAGAAGATTAGAGAAAGGAGAGCGAACTAAAGTGATAGGGATGGGCTAGAATAGTGATGCATGAGGATCAAAATTACGAAAAATATACTTTGACAGGAAAGTCGCTCTTTTTTATCAAACAAATACTTGTAATCATATATGAAGTTAGTGACCATTATAATTAATATTAATAAGATTTATAACAGGCTTATCGATTAATAATTTTATTTTTATAATAAATTAATAAAATATATTTTTTGACCGATAATAATCTTATTAAATACCTGTAATGTTTTATAACGTTCGCGTGTTCTGGCAAGAGTCTGGTATTTTTACCGTCGTTGTCATAGTTTCTATTTATGTCCCAGTAGTCATCCATTTTTAAAAACATCTCGTATAATAATTTAAATTATTTTTCAACAATATTTTATTCCTTTTGACATGCAATGGATTTATTAGTTGAAGGAAACAAATAAAAGAAAATAATTTTGTTATAAATGTTATCTTCAAAATTAAACTGGACGGAAACTAGGGCAACCACGGTATATGGGCAAGTCTCTGAAACTTTTAACATTCGTGTCCCTGATACTTTTTATTTTATAAAATGATAAAAATCATAACTAATGATTATTAAATATTTTTATACTATTAAATAAGGATCACAGATTTTTTTTTGAACCCTGATATTTATTAATTTGGTGATTTTATCCATATTTTGCTTTAATAAAGCTTACATTACTATGCTTTAGCACGTGTCACTTTCGATGTTTTTTAAGTATTTTAATTTTTTTAATTTAGTTTCTTTAAAAAAAAATTTTTATCACTATTATAAACTATTTAAAAATATCTAAACAATTTTATAAACAAGGTAAAAAAGTGTATATTATTGCAATGTAAAAGATATAATGCTTTTAAAAGTGTTCCTCACTTTTTGTGTCGCTGGTCAAGTCACCTGGTTTTCTATAAAATAATCATTAAAATACTGAACAAAAAATTTCGAAACTAGAGGCACAGTTAAATTGTACCTCAATTTTCACAACACTGTACTTTATTTTTATTTTTTACACATTTTAAAGAAAATATAATGTTTGATATATGTGTTAAGCGAGAAGTACTATAAAAATGTCGCTGGTCAAATCAGCTAGTTTTACGAAGTTTCTTATCGAATCAGCACCAAAATTGTGGCACATATACTTTTTGATGTACCGAAAACGATGCATATGTTTTTATTTATTTTAATTCTTATTTAATTATTAATTTAACGTGGATATTCAATTTGTCGCTCGTCAAATTGTCTCTTGGTCAAATCAATCTTTTTCTGATCAACCTGAATTTGCGCATTTTTTGTTTCATGTTTTTTTTAACTTTAATGATAAACCAAAACATTGACAAAAATGGATGAAGTAAAAGTAATTAAACGTGAAAAAATGAGAGAAAAGCGAAAAAAGGAAGCAGAAAAACGTGAAAAAAGGAACGAGGGAAGAAGAGAATATCGACTCAAGACACTTAAGTAATATTTATTTATTATTCGTGCGAATTAGTTAAGTAAATGAAAATGTTATTATTTGAAGTTGTGTTGACAATCTCAATTTATTTTCTCAAAACAATCGATTTTGTAAAATTTTTTTTACTGATTTAAACAATTATATGCAATAAATTTTTTATTATTATTTACAGAAATACAGTTCACAACAGTACCATATTAGTTCCTAATTCTTTTCCTAATCTTGATTCATCAAATATTCAATCATCAATGGATAAAATCAAAATGTTGGTAACTTAACATTGCTACTTTTATTATAACTGATTAATGAATTTTATTTTAATTTCTTTATTATTATTATTTTAATATTTATTATATTATTTAATTTTAATTTATTTTATTGTAATTTTGATTACTCATTTTTATTATATAATTAAATATTTATTTTTGTTATTTAAATTCAAATTTTTTTTAGAATTGTAATGATCATAAAATTTAAAAAAAAGCGATACTATAATGCGACATATTTTTCACATTTTTTGCAGAAATCCTGTTCTTGACACTACTAAATTAGATCCTCATTCTGTTCTCAAGCCTGATCAATCAATAGATGAAATCAACATGTTTGTACCTTAACATTCTTATGTTCATTGTTATTGATTAATTAATTTAATTTTAATTTAATTATTATTTTTTTATTTCAATATTTATATTATTATTTAATTTCAATCAATTTTAATGTAACTTTATTTACTGTTTTTTATTATATAATTAAAATTTTATTCTTGTTGTTTAAATTTAAAATCTTTTTAGAATTGTAATAATAATAATAAAAAATTAAAGAAAAAAGTAACGTTACTATAATAGAATAAATTTTTCACATTTTTGCAGAGATCCTGTTCCTGACACTATCAAAGCAACTCCTAATTCTTTTCCTAATCCTGACCTATTACCAAATGTTAAAATAAATATATCTACATGTTTTCAATTACCTATTAATGAAGAATGTTCGAAAACGAGAGAGGAAAAAGTAAGACATAATTACCAAATGTGGAGAAAAAAAATAAAAATTGATCCAACAAAACACGCAGAACATTTGAAAAAACGTAGAGAAAATTATTCAAAAAAGAAAATTGACAATAAAATTAAGACCGTAGCAAATATGACCCCCCGTGAAAGAAAAATTTTTCGTGAAAAAAAAAGAATTCAAAAACGTAAAGAACGCATTAAAGAAAATACGATCAATACACAATCCGAAGAAAATAAAGAAAACACGAATAATCCAAGATCATCAAGAAAATTAGAAGCTCGTTTACGAAAAAAAATTCTTAATTTAGAAAAAGCGTTAAAGGAAAGTAAGAGCCAAACTGCAAAATGGAAAAAAAAATATTATAGAGCAATTAAAGGTCAAAATGATGTTTTATCTCCTCAAAATTGTGCAAAGAAAATTTGGAGCAAAGGTAAAGGCGCGGTTTTAAAACATTTATGTGATTCTGAAGTACTTGTAAGACGAAAGTTAAACGAAAAAAAGAGATGAAATCGGAAAGAGAAAAATCTTTATTTGCTCCAGTAATATCAGGAAACAGCATTTTTAAAAAATATAAAATGATGAGAAAAACTAAGTTCATAGTATCTACTTACTTGCAGCGAAAAAATATGAATCGCAAAGAGTTAATGTTACATCGAAATAATGAGAAAAAATTAGGATCAAGACTAGAAATGAAAAAAAACATACGTCTATTTTTGGAAAAACATGAAAATTCTGCTCTTGCACCAGGAGTGAAAGACACTATAAGCAGAAATGGAGAAAAGAAAAGAAAAAGATATTTTTTAGATTCCTTGAGCACGTGCGCATGTGCAAGGAACACGCTAATTTTCAATTTGTACTTAAAAAAGCTGCATCACTTAAAATTATTGATTCAAAAAGTACAACACAATTTGCAGCAGCAATAACATGTAACTCAAGTTCTAAAGATTGCATGTATGGAGATTGTGGAACTTGTAAAAATGAAAAACAAGTAGCTGTTCCGGAAAATTCTCAACCATGTTGGTTTCATCGGTAGGAAACTGTGGCAGTATCGAGACCAGGTGCAAAAGGATTGAATTATAATGTGAAAATAACACAGAAAAATAAAATCGAATGTACAGTCGCCGAATTAGCTTCAGAGCTCAACCTTAAAATACCACCATTTTTAAAGCATCTTTATAATACAGAACATCAATATCAAACCATGTCCGAAATTAGAAAAAATTTAAAAGAAAACGAATTGTTTATTGTTATCGATTTTTCAGAAAATTACAATTGTAAATTTTCAGAGGAAATTCAAAGTGTGCATTTTGGAGCATCAAAAAAACAAATTTCTTTACACACCGGAGCTTTCTTTTATAAAGAAGAAAATTCAGGTGAAATCAAATGTATCTCATTTTGCTCATTGTCTGAGTGTTTACGACACGATGCTTCGGCTGTTTGGGCGCATGTGAAACCAGTTCTTGATTTTATAAAAGTAATTATGCCTGATTTAAAAGTTATTCACTTTCAAAGCGACGGTCCGTCAACTCAGTATAAAAATAAAAGTAATTTTTATCTTTTCAATTATTATTGTAATAAACTTGGGCTACAAAATGCTACTTGGAATTTCACAACTCCTGGACACGGTAAAAGTTTTGCGGATGGTACTGGAGGTACTGTCACCACCGAGCAAACATTATAATTTAAATCCAAACTGTTTTAATTTTACAGAGAAAATTAATGTTAGTAATAATGACAAAAGCTCAGAAAATTGTTCGTACAAATACAAAAAAGATGAATTCATTGCATTTGTAAAAGAAAAAAAGTGGTACGTGGGAACTATTCAAGAATGCTCAGACGATTTTTTGAAAGTCATTTGTATGTCTCGTGTAGGTAAAAAATTTATATGGCCGCGTGTTAAAACCTTGCAAGCAATTGACTTTTGTACAATTTTATGTAAAATTATCGATCCACCAGAAAAAAATTCAACAAATTCAACATTTTCATTTTCTGATAATGTATTCAAGCAGGTGACTGAAAAATATAAATTATATAAAAAGTGAATAATTATTGTTTTCTTATTTCCTTTAATTATATTTATATTATTTTATTAAATCATTTATATAATAAATATATATTTATTGAATTATATGATATTTGTATCATTTTTATAATATTTTATAATACATTTTATGATATTTTATTATATATTTTATATTAATTTATTATATTTATCATATTATATTATACTCCACAATTTATTATAATTTTATCTTGTAAAAATACAATTTTTCATATTAATTGCAAATTTCCTATTACATTGGAAATTTAGAT